CTGTCAGAGAAAATTTGTGATCTGCAGTGTTTGATGTCAGAGGACTTGTTGCCATGTTTAGAGCAGATATTTGTGGCTCGTTCCATGCGTCCCTTGTGTGTCCCTCTCTCATGCTGCAGCAGTGATTGATGAGTGAAGAATATGGACAGCTGGTGGGGAAATGCAGCAGGGAGAGGAGGATAGGACTGGGCTGGGTAATGCATGATATGTTTCATGCTGGGAAATAGGCTTCCATAGTTTGTCTTCTCTATTACACACACACACCTCTTGCAGAACTCGACTGTGATGGATTTCTGGCAGTCCACGCCGCACATTAATATTGATATTAATGCTTGTGGTGATTTGAAGCAACAGAACACTTTTGGACTTTTGCCCTGTATGTACACAGAGCGTGTTTTGCTTGTGTAGCCAAAGCTTTTGGATTGATGATTTCAAATCTGGCAGACGACAGAATACATTCAATCAGAGCTGGGAGATGAATTGAGAAAGTATTGTAATAACAATAATAATTTAATTGATCATTTACCTTGATAATACAAGGGCTGGAACTAACAATTTGCCAATTATCTTACAAATTAGTCCTTAAAATTTCACAAGGGGACATCTTTAAATTTCCTTTTTTGTCCACCATGCAGCCGAAACCCCAAAATGTGCAGTTAACTTTGATATATGACAAAAAAACATACACCGTCACATTTAAGGAGCTGCTAAAAGGAGACTAAAAAGATAGTTTAGACTGATTTCTATGCTTGTGTTAATGTTCTATATTCTGGTCTCCAAGACTGTTAAATTACAGTGAACTTACTTGTGTCCTGCTTTGCTGTCACATCCACTTTGAAATGATTAGATTTGTTTGATCAAAAACACATGTCTCATGAAAATGCAATCCCATTAAGCCTCTAAGTAAAAACATTCTGTGATCTCATTGCAGGATTTGCGGCATACAAAATGCTTTACACGTACAATCGTGCCTTTTATCAAGGCTATCATTCATGAGGAAGTTGAATAAGATTAAACGTGTGGTTTGCTCTAGAAAAAGTGACTGACAACATCTGTTTGTGTGTCTGCGGCAGTGTGTGTATGGGTGTGTTTGGCTGTTTGACTGACCTGATTGTAAACTACAAACACAGTTAAAGGGGGGATTGTTCCCCAGCGAGCAGTGACCACAATACTTCCCTCTGTCCAAGTTCTGCCCTGGAGGGCACGGACCACTGACCATTGACCAACACACACACACACTAAGCACCAGTCATCATCCTCTCGCTGTCTCGCTCAGCTGAAAGAGGCCCTGTGTGATCACACTCATCATTAAAACGCGTCTTGTGTGATCTGCTTACGAGTGGACAGCTCCAGATTAGAGATGGTTATTTTGTAAGATATTATAGATGTCTGAATGAGTGTAATGTAGTCAGTCTTGATAAAAGAAAATAGAAAGAGAGGCAGAAAAGTGTTGGGATGAGTGATGGGATGGGCAATTAGTACCGAGAAATTGCCGTAAAGAGATGTCAAAAATTTAATTACTGTCTGTAGAGATGACCACCATTTATTTATTTATTTGTTTTTTTAATTACAGGCAAAATTATAAAGTGCATTTTTATATTTTTGAATCATATTTAATTTTTAGATTTTTGTTTTCGTTTGTGTTAGTTGTTTTTAAGTTATTTGAACTAATTCAATTCTGAGGAAATCTCTCTAAAATAAAATATTTGCTGTAAGTGTTATGATTTTGACTAAGGCTGCAGCTAAGCGTGAATATCAATTATATTTCTGTAAGAAAATAATGAAAGAATACTCACGACAATTTGCGTACGACTAAGGTGACTTATTTTTTCCAAACCCTAAAGAGAGAAGAGGCTGTAAATAAGGAATGTTTGGTATTTTTGCTTACAAAATTACTAATTAACAGATTATTAAAATAGTTGCTGCTTATTTTTCTGTCAATCGAGTAATTGTTTCAGCCCAACTTTTACAAGTTTATTTTTAAACTTAAAAATGTCTTTAATGACCAAATTAATGGGAACCTTATCAAACAAAACATTGGCAACTAGGCTATATTATTATCTGATTTTTTTCATTCATTTAAATATTGTATTGCCTCAAAAGTCCTATTTCAGTTGTGCTGTAGTCTGCAGGTTGTGTGAACAAAAGTACCTCTCTGAATTAGCCTCTTGAACTCTACATATTCCAGACAGTAACCCCACAGTTGATTTGTTTGTGGCTTATGACAGCATGCTGCACTGAGAAGCACTAGGGCTGCAGTGAGTACTTTCATCTTCAATTTATATATCAGTCATTCTCCAAGCAGTGAATTAATAATGTAGTCTGTTCATTGTGAAATATAACGACAGATGACCATTACAGTTGACTCCAAATGTTTTCCTCCTGATAGTGGTTGCGGTTTACACAGAGCTGGAAAGTAAAATCTGATCTTGAGTGGTTACTTGAGATGCATTTCAGACGAGTTCTGATACCAGGTGTCCGCTGCCGTCTGTCTCAGCTGTGCGTAACCACAATTTGAATATATATGGTTACAAGATACCAGATCTGAACGGGGCCAGTCAGGCTGTAAAGAGTGGAGACACTCTGAGCTGATGGAGAAGGGAGGAGAGGAAGAGGATGGAGGGGACGAATAAAGAGAGACTGTTGAGTTTGAAATGATGGCCACGAGGAGAGAAGAGGGGGAGAGGAGGCTAACAGAGGACCGTCTGTGGTACCCATCTGAAGGAAACGGAAGCTGCCCGCTGTGCGCTTCTTGACAGTTTTCTTTTTCTCTCTGTCAGAATCACACACACAGATATTTAGCTGAGACTTCGTGCGCTGCCAGCAGCCACTTCAGTTCGTTGTGTGTCGAGCGTTGTGAGGTTATGGAAATGGATGAAAACCCCACCTGCTGCCTAGATTATCAAACCAGATCACACACTTTCACTTTCCTTCCTCTTCGATTTCTGTCTGTGTAACTCCTCTGAACTATTTCTTTTCTTCGCCGCAGTATTCACTCTCTTATAAGTGTCTGAGGTATGTTGTTGCGACAGAATGAAAGTGTTCAGTGTCTGAGGTATGTTGTTGCGACAGAATGAAAGTGTTCATTGTCTGAAGTATGTTGTTGTCCTCCAGCTGTTGGTTTCTTAGAGAGGGCAGGTGGGCAGAATAGTTTTTAACTGTCAGATTACAAGATATGTTTCCCTTCCTCTTTGCTGTAAATATTAATCAGTCTTGGAATTCATCAGTCTGATGATGATAAGCCTCTGGGGACAACAGCCAGTATTTAGGGGGTTCTGGTGTAACCAGCAAACATCTGGGCCAAGACTTGAACAAAAATATTTTCTTAGAAGGCTAAAAATCATTATCAGAAGTAGGGATGCACCGAATATTCGGTAACCGAATATATTGGGCTGAATATTGCAAAAAAAATCCCACACATTCGGTATTCGGTGTAGTAAGTTAAAAGCAAGGCCGAATAATAGTGGCGTGTTTTGATAACGCAATCAAACAGCGTGCTGTGATGGGCGGAGTAAAATGTCGGCAGTGTGGCCATCCGAAAAATAGTTTTGAGCGAGCAAAATAGGCTTAAATCATTCAGCACGCTGTGTGAGCAGCCTACAAATTTCAGCCACCAGCAGAAACGAAAGGCGAATCCCACCGGTTTTGGGTTGAATGGGGTCACAGACACAGACAGTAATGTATTCCTGTCAAATACGCCGGCCATCGGCTTACCGGCGACGGAGAATTTGGCTCCAATAATATCCTCTTCTTGGCGTCATGACTGCCCAAAAGTACCTGAACAGCCGAGCCAGCCGAACACAGGTATGTGATGTGTCAGAGGAGAAACGAGCCGTTCACGGCCCACAAACCTCACCGCACTTTAGGGACTGTTCTTTACTTATGAAGGGACTTATCAGGGGAGGAGGGTGGCTGGATGATTCTTATTTTATTTATTTATTTTATTTTGATCCCCCCATGTTAATCACTGATTGATGCTGTTTTTGAAGTATGAATAAGTCAATAAGTAATTTATTCCATTGAAATATCATTGATGTATTATAGAAAAGTGATTTATCTTTTTATAAATGACAAAAAGCACATCTGCCTCATTTTCGCTGTGGTATCGTGATACTACTCAGAACCATGATATTTTCATTGGTATCGTACAGTGGGTCCCAATTTTGGTACCGTGACAACACTAATCTGGAGGGGGTTCATCTGCAAAAACTAATGAAAAACTAAACAACGATATTCGGTATTTGGTACTCGGTATTCGGCCAAGCGCTTAATATTATCCGGCTTCGGCTTTGGCCACAAATTTTCATTTCGGTGCATCCCTAATCAGAAGATAGCAGATGGGCTCTGAAATTGCATTTCAGCCAGTGAATATGGCCTCTTTTGCTCTCTGTGTACAGACTGTTAACCTGATGCTCAAACTTGATTGTTCAATACTACACAAGCTATAGACTACAAACTGAAACCAGGTTGCTTCAGATAAAAAAATCTTGTACCACTGTATAGGTTCTGCAGACATGTGCAGATACCTGTTTATAGAGATGATATATTTAAAGGGCAGCTCCGTTATGTTTTATTTATTATTATTTATTTTGTTTATTATTTTATTTATTTTAGGTTTTTATATCATTCTGTAGCTTTCCAGCAGTGTTCCTGATGTATTCAAATCTGAAAATTAAAATTTCTGCCGAAGTATGTATGTTTTTAGTCATTTTAGAAAAAATGCTGTTTTCCCAAGACCCTCTAAAACTTTTTCCCACACTACATGGGCACCACGTTAGATCAGTTCCGAAAATCACATAATAACAAACAAACTAAACGATTGAGTTGCTGGTTGACCATCAACTTCTTTGTGCTATGAGGTAAAATTATTGTTTTTGTCAATGGAGTCTGGTGGCTTTAAAGAAAGCATGGATAACAGCTTAAATTCCCCATTGAAAAGGGAGTTTTAATTACTTTTATTCATTAACATTTTATTTGTATTGTATGTGTTTTTTTTCTAGGCCCTACACACTGAGTGTAACTCAGGGCAGCAGCGATGTCGGGCTCTTATGATGACTCCATGATCGATGTCTCCAGTGATAGCTTCTGGGAGGTGAGACGCATGAATTTCTTTATGCTAGCAGTCGTTAAATTCAGGGCCACATGTCTTCCATAGTAGAATAAATCCAGTACCACTCATGGAGCAAAGGCTTCAAGGAAATCCAGTGCAGTCGTAGCCATAACTTAGATTTTCTGTATCTTCTTCAACTATCTTTCTGTTTTCTCTGCAGGTCGGTAACTACAAACGATCGGTGAAACGGGTAGACGATGGCAACCGACTCTGCAATGATCTTATGAGCTGTATTCATGAGCGGGCACGTATTGAAAAGGCCTATGCACAGCAGCTCACAGAATGGGGGAAACGCTGGCGGCAGCTCATCGATAAAGGTAGGAACATGAAACACCTGTCAACTAGGGCTGGGCGATTTGACCAAAAACTCATATCATGATATAGTTCATTTCATATCCCGGTAACGATACATATCCCGATATAGCACATTTTAATCCAATGAATAAAAAGTCCCCTGCTCCCTCAGGGACAGTGCATCGAAACCACAACACTGCACTGATCCAAAATATTAAAATATTAATGCATTGCATCATTGGGAAAACATGTATTCATCCATAACCCCTGAAAACATGACTTTCACAGACACTGACTGGTGAATAATTGTTCCTTCAGGCCCTCAGTATGGTACGTTGGAGCGGGCGTGGTCCGCTCTGTGCACAGAGGCAGAGAAAGTGAGCGAGCTCCACATGGAGGTGAAAGCAGCACTGATGGGAGAAGACTACGAGAAGCTGAAGAACTGGCAGAGAGACTCGTACCACAAACAGATGATCGGTGGCTTCAAGGAGACTAAAGAGGCTGATGACGGCTTTCGCAAGGCTCAGAAACCCTGGGCCAAGAAACTCAAAGAGGTGTGGTTCTCAAACTTCTCAGGAACTCACAAGATACTAAAATAGTCTAGACCTTTTTGTTGCTACTCTGTTGCTAGGGCAACAGCTTTGGCCCCTGTTTACTTCCTGTCAGCCCCCGCATTAACAAACATCCCAACAGGAAATACAAAGGGACCCATGTTGAAGGTTTATGTTGTCAAGTTTGAAAAGATCCATAATTTGTAGTGTATGTGTTTTAAACTATAAACAGCAAAAATGTTGCCACAAGCAAGTCATTTTTCAAGCCACTGACTATCAATTTTACCCTCCAGTTCACATGATTACATATCACTGACTCACCATTGTTTTCACTCCATGACTACCTGCTTACTAAACAACAGAGCAGAACACCAGCTGCAACGTCTTGATATTGAATAAGAAGCTATTGCCAAACTGTAGCCACAGAGTGTGCCGAGGTGGCAGCCAGTAACTGTGTCCTGTAGTTCTTTGACTGTCAGGAGAAGGGAAACACAGAGGACTTCTAGGGAGACTGACACTTCTAGTTCAAAATCAGGTCAATGTATTTCCTACTACTGCTTTCATTTTTGCAGCCTGTTTACGCGACAGTATTCACATTCCTTTCAGTGCATCTGCATGCGAGAGCGCGCACATCCAAGTATTTGTATGTTCAAAATAACTGAACGTTTTGCAACCTCTTGGTTCCTTGCCCTCATTTCCTGTGTGTGTGTGTGATGTTACCAGGGGTTGGTGACATCCTGGCCTTGTACAGTTTTGTGGCCCGAGTGATTTATTGATTGACCAGACAGACGGGGACAAGTGGGTAGAGGGCAGAGAGGAAATGAGGCTAATTAATTGGTCTAGAAAATGAGTAGCTGGCATCGGTGACGTGGGCAGTGTCAATAATAGACACACACATGCTAAACTGGATACAGTATTTGACTCATAGTCCAAAGCCCTCGTGAGTTTTAGTGGATTGACATTCAACTGGCTGTTAAATCAAACTTGGGAGTAGGACGATCTGCTGTCCTCTACTTATGTCCTCATGGTTTGTTCACACGGCTGCTCTGGGCTCGACCCAAGATGCTCTTCAAATAGAGCCATAATGGATGAATGTGCTTCCCCAATTCTTATCTGTCGGTGTTTAAATATATACAAAGTGACAGGAGTGGTTCCTCTCATAAATGCATCACGTACAAAACTTATCAGGCGTCAGTGTTTCCATGTTGCCTCTCTCACATGAGTTGGTTTCTGTGTGAGAAGTGTTGTTCATTCGTTCCAACATCCGTGTGTCTAGGGCCTGAAATTACCAAGCTTCTCCGAGTAGGAAATTAGGCGTAATGGTTCCTAAATAACGAAGGACACACATTTAGTCAGGCTTTTTGGCACAAGAGTGAGCATGAGTTTCAACCTTAACAACAAAGACAAAGTCAAATTAGGTTTCCTCAAAGCAGGGTTCCCACTTGTTCTTGAAATCGTGGAAAGTTTGTGATTTTGAGAAGAAAAATCAAGGTCTTGAATGCTTTGAAAATAGAATTAAATATACCTAATTGAAAGTGCTTGAATTAATATATTTTGTGCAAGAATAGAAATTGAAGATACTTGAATTTGAGGGAGTTGGGCCTGTAAAGTCCTTGAAAAAAGTCCTTTAATTTGATCTTTATGAAGGCTTGGCAAGCCTGTTAAAGACTTTCTCGAAAATGACAGAGGCAGCCACATGCATGCACATTTCAGGAAAAGATGACTCTACAACTGTGACCTTATTGAAAGGTGTTATTGTTGTTACTGGGCTAAAAATGAAATACTTTCAGTGACAGACTTAGGCCAATTTTCCAACAACTTAATCCAAAAATATGATGTAACTTAAGCATAAATCCCTCAGTCAGGCACCAAACTTCGATTGGTCTTTCTCCACCTCACTGTAAGATTCTTCCAAGGTACTTAACAAGACTGGCACTGTTGTCTGTGTTTTATTATGTCGGTGGAATCCACACAGATGGAGACGATGAAAAAGGCTTATCACTCTGCCTGCAAAGAAGAGAAGCTGGCAGCCAGCAGGGAGAATAACAGCAAACTGGAGAGCAACAACAACCCCGAAGCCCAAAAGAAGCTCCAGGAAAAGGTGGAGAAGTGTCAGCAGGAGGTGCAGAAGGTAGGGCTTCCTTTGGAAAAGACTAAGTAGAATGTCAAGAACGGCTGCTTAAGGTATTCCTTTTCCAACTGCTGGCTCAATTTCCTTCCATCTTGCTTTATAAAGAGGTCCACATTAACTTGTTAAAGACCGTAGTTGAGCTGCCTTATAGTAGTCTTTTAGAACTGCTGTTCTTTGAAGTTTTATAAAGATTTTTTCCCCACCTCATATGTGTCTAAATAACAATTATGACCCTTTGTAATACATTTGTCTTAATTCATTCTATGTTTGAAGTAAGACTAGAATATGTTATCAAAATTAATCTATATAGGTATAGGTATCCCTAAGTATTTCACTGACCTACAACCCAACCTAGCTGGTACTTATTACAAAGTTCTTGAGGGGGATAACAGTTGAAACTAAGAACCTGTGTCTTTTGGACATTTCATTTATAACTTGAGTAAAAATTACATCAGCACTAGTATACTCCATTACGTCAGGCTGTCTAGATACACAAGTACATCTCCAGGTATTTATGTTTAATGTGTTTAAATAGTTACTTCATTCCTCCCTTTATCCCAGACTAAAGAACGCTATGAGAAATCTCTTGAAGAACTCGACAAGTTGACCCCTCAGTATATGGAAAACATGGAGCAGGTGTTTGAGCAGTGGCAGCAGTTTGAAGACAAACGAATCCGCTTCTTCAAAGAGCTGTTGCTGGAGGTTAAACAGCATCTCGATCTGTCAACCAATCACAGGTCAGACACAGGACAGTCACACGGGTTGCTCTTTTCCAGTCATTGGTCAAATGCTTGAGATTTCAGATATCAACAAGAAAATAATGTACAACATTGTCTCCATAGATTCCAGACAGTCTACCACACGCTGGAAGACACAATCTCTGCTACTGATGCTGAAGACGACCTGAAATGGTTCCGGTCCAATCATGGCCCTGGCATGCCGATGAACTGGCCCCAGTTTGAGGTACTACAGCCTTGATTTATACTAATAATAGAGGAATAAATGCTCAATGTTTGATAAAGGAGGGATGATGGTGACACGTAGGTCACAGTCTCTCACTTTATTTAATCCCCTGAACTCTTACAGAAGGATTTGTGCTGTTCCTGACTGAAGACATAGAGTAATAGTCCTTCCTTATATATTGTTAGTGAGGTGATTTTGAATGAATTTGAGTTCTTACTGATCTTGAGAGGCCAGCATCTCCTCTTAAAGACCACTGATGTTCTTTCCCTGTGGGAACCATGAGTCAAGAGGACAGTAGAAATTAAGTCAGCATTGTCAGGGCTTTTTACAGTGTTAGATGTAGCCCAAGCGGGAGTTAATACCTAGTGTCATTTTTGTCATTGACTTACAGTACAGGCCAAAAGTTTGGACACACCTTCTCATTCAATGCGTTTTCTTTATTTTCATGGCTATTTACATTGTAGATTCTCACTGAAGGCATCAAAACTATGAGTGAACACATGTGGAGTTATGTACTTAACAAAAAAAGGTGAAATAACTGAAAACATGTTTTATATTCTAGTTTCTTCAAAATAGCCACCCTTTGCTCTGATTACTGCTTTGCACACTCTTGGCATTCTCTCCATGAGCTTCAAGAGGTAGTCACCTGAAATGGTTTCCACTTCACAGGTGTGCCTTATCAGGGTTAATTAGTGGAATTTCTTGCTTTATCAATGGGGTTGGGACCATCAGTTGTGTTGTGCAGAAGTCAGGTTAATACACAGCCGACAGCCCTATTGGACAACTGTTAAAATTCATATTATGGCAAGAACCAATCAGCTAACTAAAGAAAAACGAGTGGCCATCATTACTTTAAGAAATGAAGGTCAGTCAGTCCGGAAAATTGCAAAAACTTTAAATGTGTCCCCAAGTGGAGTCGCAAAAACCATCAAGCGCTACAACGAAACTGGCACACATGAGGACCGACCCAGGAAAGGAAGACCAAGAGTCACCTCTGCTTCTAAGGATAAGTTCATCCGAGTCACCAGCCTCAGAAATCGCAAGTTAACAGCAGCTCAGATCAGAGACCAGATGAATGCCACACAGAGTTCTAGCAGCAGACCCATCTCTAGAACAACTGTTAAGAGGAGACTGCGCCAATCAGGCCTTCATGGTCAAATAGCTGCTAGGAAACCACTGCTAAGGAGAGGCAACAAGCAGAAGAGATTTGTTTGGGCCAAGAAACACAAGGAATGGACATTAGACCAGTGGAAATCTGTGCTTTGGTCTGATGAGTCCAAATTTGAGATCTTTGATTCCAACCGCCGTGTCTTTGTGAGACTCAGAAAAGGTGAACGGATGGATTCCACATGCCTGGTTCCCACTGTGAAGCATGGAGGAGGAGGTGTGATGGTGTGGGGGTGTTTTGCTGGTGACACTGTTTGGGATTTATTCAAAATTGAAGGCACACTGAACCAGCATGGCTACCACAGCATCCTGCAGCGACATGCCATCCCATCTGGTTTGCGTTTAGTTGGAGGATCATTTATTTTTCAACAGGACAATGACCCCAAACACACCTCCAGGCTGCGTAAGGGCTATTTGACCAAGAAGGAGAGTGATGGAGTGCTGCGGCAGATGACCTGGCCTCCACAGTCACCGGACCTGAACCCAATCGAGATGGTTTGGGGTGAGCTGGACCGCAGAGTGAAGGCAAAGGGGCCAACAAGTGCTAAACACCTCTGGGAACTCCTTCAAGACTGTTGGAAAACCATTTCAGGTGACTACCTCTTGAAGCTCATGGAGAGAATGCCAAGAGTGTGCAAAGCAGTAATCAGAGCAAAGGGTGGCTATTTTGAAGAAACTAGAATATAAAACATGTTTTCAGTTATTTCACCTTTTTTTGTTAAGTACATAACTCCACATGTGTTCATTCATAGTTTTGATGCCTTCAGTGAGAATCTACAATGTAAATAGTCATGAAAATAAAGAAAACGCATTGAATGAGAAGGTGTGTCCAAACTTTTGGCCTGTACTGTATGCTGTTTGGCAGCAGGGGTGGAGGTAAATCTTAACTCAGTGTTAGAGTGGCAATGGAAGGAATGTAGTTCATGTCATTTTCTCAACAGGAGGTGAAATAAGAAAAAGAGGAAAAGCTTCATGCATTTTCAGTGCTGCAATTTATAGCTCTGTTGAGTGCATAGCTGTTTCAGTGGGGCGTCCACTTCCACCTCCATCATTACCACGCTGTTTTTCTTTCTGAGTACCGGTTAGTTTTTGGAAGACTTTTTAAGGAAGGAATAAGTCTTTTCTGTAATAGGATACACACAACAAAAAAGAGCGAGACTTAACCTGTTAGACAGCTCCAACAGTGCAGACATCCAAAAGAAACTTGGATGAATATAAACGTAATGTCAGAAACAATACAGCACGCTCATATCTTAATTATTACTGGGTTTTTATTTCATGTTGTTTTGTAGAAGTAGAGTGATTTGCTGGTGTAATTCATTGCTACATTCACAAATTAACATTTCTCCAGCTCACAGTGTATACTTCACATCTTTAGGATTAGACCGTGTTGTCCACATTAACCCTTTTCCACACCTGCTTCCCTTTCCTCATGTCTGACAGAACTTGGACTGGTCCAATCCTCGCTCCTTTAAGAGAAGGTCCATTGTAGTGAGTTCTGCATGGGAGGGCTGTTCCTTTTCACAACAGCCATGGGGGGGGGGTCTTTTTTTCCAACAACACTTTCACTCTTTACTTCTTCTATATATGTGTGTTTGAAGTGGTTGTGCTTCTATCTTGTATTCAAGTTTCAAAGAATTTTAATGACATGGTACATGCAGAGAAACCACATGCCTGTCCACAGCACTGTCCTCGCTACAGTATGTTGACATATCCACCCTTGCTACCTTTACCTGATTACTCCAGGATGTTTGCATAGCTTTTCCTGGATACCAGAATGACTCTACACCACTTTTAACACAGCTTGGATTTTCTATTCTTTCTAACCTTTGAACTCTGACCCCTCAGTTGCCCTTCCACTCATTACTCTGTCCATGTTAACGCTGCAGTCCGTCACATGATGCCACTATGGCTCAGCAATGTCACAGAGTCTCAGAGGTCATGAGCCAGACAGGAGACCTTTGGTCTGTGAAAGTTTGAGAGGCCTGATAAATCAGAATGGTCAGACAAGGACTTAAAAAATCTCAGAGGTCACACTTACTAGAGTAATAAGTCATTTATATGAAAGAGGGACAATGGGATGGCTGTTTGAATTATGTTAAAGGGATGATTCGGATCTTTTTAAGTGGGTTTGTATGAGGTATTTATCCATAATTGGTGTATTACCTAGAGTAGATGTCAGTCGGTACGCTCCCAACTCCAGCACAAGATTGATATCATACTTCTATGTCTTGATAGATACTGAAAATTGCAACTGGAAATAAAAGTCCAGGAATGAAATCAGTCATGTGTCGGGGACAATTTGCTTTTTAAGCAGCATTTCTAATTTTGTTTTCTATAACTGTGTTGCTGTTATGGTCTCTGTTTGGTTGGTGGTGTGTTTCTTTCAACAGGTGATGGATACTGTACGTGGCTGTGTGTCCCATCTTATCAGGCCTACACTGTACTGCAAAAACACCCGTGCATGTTTTGTTTCAAAACCTCCAGTCAGTGTCGAGGCCTGAGAAATGTTTCACAGATTCTAGACTGTGTTGAAGTGTGTGTATATTGCTGTGCACATGCCTGTGACTTGTTCTCCCTCTACTAGCTGTGAAGGCATGATTTGAACCAAGCTCAACAGCTTTGTTGGCCAAGTATGTTGGCGTAATACTTGACTCCAATGTGTGTGTCCCAGGACTGGTCCATAGACCTCAACCGAACCCTCAGCAGACGAGAAAAGAAGAAGCCGTCGGAGGGCGTCACGCTGACAGGCATCAGTCAAACTGGGTCAGACCAGCCCGTTCAGCCTGCCAAGACCAGCAGCAGGTAGATATCTGATCACTTACTGACTCACTTTTTCTGTCTCTACCAAACGCACAGAAAACTGAGCATGTGCTTGTAATACACACACGCACACACTCACTGACTCTTCCTCATCCAAACTCCCCACATCAGAGATGATCCAGTGCACCACACATGGCGTCCTTCCCTTTAGGAATGCTTGTAAAACGTTACATAAGGGAATCTCTGGGAGTGACGTCCAGTGGCACCGCTGTTTCCATGACAACAGCAAACATTTTGAGTTTGAGAGTTTGTTGGGAAAGAATTCATCCCTGCGAGACTGGAGTTGGCTGGTACATAGTTGAAAGCAAGCCAGAAAGTAATGTGGAAATATAGTACTCACACACACATACACACACAGAGACCTTCGTAGCATGAGTATTGGTACTGAGAAGTTTGTGAGAAGGCCGGATTAGGGTTCAAGTCAAACACCTGCGCCTGGATTCAGCAAGTTTGCGATTGGAAAAAAAAGAATATTAAAACAGAGTTCAGTTAATAACATGTTTTTATAAGAGAAAAATAGTGCATAATTCACAAATGATGGCAATAAAAGCTCTAATCGAATCAAACTGTGAAGGTTTAGAGGCTCTTCACGTTTGACTGGCAGTTTAAAAGCATGATATAATCTTTTTAAGACAAGATAAGAACTTCGTTGTCCCCACAGAGAAATGTGTCCCTGGTGTTGTGGCAACAGCTCCAAGGACATAACAGTGGTTCATGGAAACGACAACAAACATCTGATTAAGATAAAAATTTTTCATGCATTCGTCATCACTGTGAAAAAGCAAATGACAGTTTTGCAACTTTGACCTAATTGCAGAAGTTGTCGTGTGTGTTATATCTGCTCTTTGGGCTTTAAAGTCAGACTAGTCATGATCGCCCTGTCCTGTTTCTAGCAACCATCCCCTTATTGAGACATCAGTAGGAAGTGGCGTGTAGGTCGAAATCAAGAGAGCACTAGAGGAGTGTCTAGAGGAGTCAACAAAGGGAATGTCAAGCATGGAAAGCATTTGACCCTTGAACTTGGGAATGTTGACTGCCTCTTCCCCATCCAGCGTTTACAGCACATTGTTTTCCTGTCATTTCCGACATCTGTGGGTGTGACTGGTGGATTGTATTTACGCACAGGGCCTGGAGAAGTTCAATCTGGAACAATTTGGATTATCTCTCCCCTTGTTACAGAGCACTGACTTAGGTTCAAACGCAGACTTCATCGTGAAGGTTGTTGACTTATCTCAGTGGTTGTTTCAGTCGTTTTATTATCAGCATCAGAAGGCGAGCTCTCATTCGTATCACATATTTGCCCCTTTTGATGTTTCCCCTGTTTGCTGTCTGAAGCTTGATTGAACACGATTTTAACACTCTCTGGATAACACAGCTCGTTGGATTAATCGGTTCATAGTTATCAGGTCAGGTTTGTTTGTTGACTGAACCCATCCAAAGTTACATTGTGCCAGACTCCCAGTAGAGTAGTGTTTGGTGTAATAACTCCCCCAGCTCAGCTCAAGAGAGCATGGCATGACTATGCAAACAAAGGCATTCACATTTCTCCGCTGCACATTCTCAAGGGCCGACCGATAGCCACTGCTGTTCATGGTCCAATGAGTCTGTAAACAGGGAGTAGAAACCCTGTGTTTCCTCTGATACAGGTGGAGGGCTACTGCTACTACTACTACTACTGGTTTGTTCTTTGATGCGGAAAGTGACAATGATAGGAAGTAAACTGGCGTTGTGTGACTTCTTTTACACCGATACAAACACAGAGCTGACAATTAAGTGTTGTTTGTGTCACTCAGAAAGTGTCTTATTGATGTTTTTATAGCTTTGTTGTCATTATGATGAACATCGTCTGTGGATTTTAGTGAAACCACTAGTGTAAAACAAGTCAAATTGTTGTCATGGTGTCTTTTCTCTTTATTTAGTGTAAAACAGTTGTTTGTTGACTGGTCTGGAGGATGAAAAATGACATTAAGTATAAATAAATAAATAAATAGATAAATACATAAAGGAGTAAGTAAATGAATAAATCAAACAATAAATAAATACTGAACTGAATTCAGAAATAAATACATGAATGCATATAAAAATAAACAAATGCAGAAGTTAGGACCTGCGTGAAATTATAGGAAAAAAGAGAAGAAATAATAGTAGTAATAATTGATGTAAATAAACATATTTAAAAATGTAAGTAAATATAAATAGAAAATAATAATTAATAATTTTTTCTTTGTATTTTGATGATTGTCTTTATATTTCCACATTTGTTCATTCTTTTAATTTTTTTCTCTTTAAAGTTTTATATTTTTCTAGAAATTTTTATTTACTTATTTATTCTTTTATTTGATTCTCTTTTTATTTACACACTTTTAGTTATATTTATTTATTCATTCATTCCCCTTAATATTTACACATTTATTTTTTTATTATTTTACAGATTTATTCTTTTTTTTGTGGTACTCTTATGAATCCTTACATACCTCATAACATACACACACAGAAAGAAAGAAATATAATTGTACAAAAATGTATAAATAAATATTTTTTTTTATTTAGGTAATTTTTAAATATCAACTTAAGTTATTTATTGTCATTATTTTTTTATGCATTTCTTTTTTTCTGTATTAATTTCAGCATGAATTTAATCTTTTATTTATTTATTTACATATTTAATTACTCTCACATTTATTTATACATCTGTTTATTCATTTATTTGTACTTAAGTCAGTTGTTGCCCTCCATAGACGGGTTGTAGTACCCTGTTGATGTTACTTAGGATTATAATTGAATAGAAATACAGTAATTACGGGATCATCCATCTCTAACAAAGCCACAATCAACTGTTGGCTAAGCCCCTCGGCTCCTTGGCCTTGGAAGTGATGCTCACTACTGTGTGTAGTAAACTCATTAGCTGGGTATGTTAACATTTGAAGCGTATGTTTAGCATGTCCACAGGTATGTTTGTCACAGGTTCATCTTTATGTGTGTTTGCATGTCAACAACCGATCTCTCACTGTGTCCCATGTCGTCAGCCTGACTGTGCCCACTAACACAGCACCAGTGGGCTTAAACCCCTTTGACGAGGATGACGAAGATGAGGAGGAGGAGGAGACAACGGCAGTGGAGCAGCAGACAACAGTCAACCACATCAGTGTGAATAAAGAGGAAATAAAAACGTTGGTGAACAGAAGGAAAAAACTCCGCCCACCCGCAACCTTCCCGCTTTTTCTTTTTACTATCTCTTGTGTCACGGATCACCGTTCGTGCCGCGTGTCCTTGGCGTCATTTCTTTGTCTCAGTTTCTTTGATCCCTTCTTTCTTGTGTTCCGTTCTCCTCCCTCAGGTGGCAGGTTGTTGTGTTGCTCTGCATGGTTGCTGGAATGGCATTGCACACAAAGCCGATGTGTGTCTCTCCTTCACTCCTAACAGTGCCATGTCTTGCAGAACATTAAAAGTCATGCGCATGGGGGCGTATGTCTCAGCTGTGGGAAATGTCTTACAGTCAGATCTGAATGTTGACACACTTACCCACATGTATATTTATACATTGGTCATATCAGTTTCAATTGCCAGACAATTAACTGGCTGTATAACATCAGAAGAAGTATACATACAAATACAAGTACAGAAAAGAACAATTAAGATACACTCATGTGAATCCAACCAGTTTTGTTGGTGTAAATCCAAAAAAACCCAGTGTCAACAGTGGATGTCCAAGAAAGAAACTGAACAGATCTGACTGTAAATCCTTTATGTATGTGCTGGTGTGTGTTTATTGTCTTTCAACTTACAGCCCTCTGTAAGAGCTCAGTTCTCTCTGGTGTCTAGGTGGCTCCCTCTGCTGGCCGTTCAGGTTAAACTCCAATCATGCCTTCACAACAATGATTTGTCTCGCTTCTTCTCGTGCTGTTTGATATGTGGTCATGTTGTTTTGTTGCCTTCCTTCAGCATTGTGTGCACTCTCACTCTTGAGTTTTTAAGTGCCATTAAAGAGGCTTTTAAATCATGTATCACGCTGCTTGCTCTGTTGATGCCATAAGTCAGCATGTTGTGCACTCATTTAGAAGTGTAAGGAGGTTGTTTTTCAGGATGCTGCCACCGGATTTTGAATTGCACTTTGGGCTTCTGTGTGTCTGATCAAACTTGGTGTTATTTTTCTCGCTTTCCTAACTAAGAAATTTTGTTCCTGCTTGCGCCTGGCATGCTGGATTTCCCCGTCAATGCATACGGTCCACAGATTAACATGAAAATATATTTTCATTTTTTTTTTACTATTTTTTGTCTGTTTATCCAGTGCAAGCAGTATGGAGAAGACTCCAGACTGGTCAGATGAAGACACAGGTGGTAACCCTTTCTCTGCCAACGGTAATGGGAATCCATTTGAGGACGAACCAGCCTCTCCGGTCATATCTGTGCCGGTCAGAGCCCTCTATGACTATGAAGGACAGGAGCAGGACGAGCTGACCTTCAAAGCAGGTACATATCAGAAATGGTTTGCAATAAGGCTGGGCGACATGGGCTGTGATATTGGATATATTTAGGCTATATCATGATACATGATATATATCTTGATATTTTGCAATCGCCTCTAAACTGCTAGCCTACTAAACTCCTAAATAAACTCCAGTTACAGTAACGTTGAATAAACTATTGTTACATTTAAAACATAAATACAATACTGTTATAATAACGTTAAATAAAGTACTGTTATTATAAAGTTAAAGTGATGTTATATAAAGTTAAATAAAATACAGTTATAATAAAGTTAGATAAAGTGTTGTTATATAAAGTTAAATAAAGTACTGTTATAACAAAGTTAGATAAAATGCTGTTATATAAAGTTAGATAAAGTACTGTTATAATAAAGTTAGATAAAATGCTGTTATATAAAGTTAAATAAAATACTGTTATAATAAAGTTAGATAAAATGCTGTTATATAAAGTTAGATAAAGTACTGTTATATAAAGTTAAATAAAGTACTGTTATAATAAAGTTAGATAAAGTGCTGTTATATAAAGTTAAATAAAATAGGCTGGAAGTGTTCACGTTTTTGCTGTGAACTTGAAGTTTCCAGTCAACCACTCAGATTTTACCAGAAAGTTAAACTGTAACAGCAACACCATTAAACTGAAGGATTTACTCACTGTGAGCAGGAAACTAACTAACTGCTCTCCAGTGCATATATTAATTGTATTTGCAAGTCTCACTGGTGCTCCATGGTCGAAAAATGTGACTAAATGGTCACAGTCTGGAGCCCTGCAGGTACTAAATCACGTAACTCGCCTGCTCACTCACTATCACCTAAAAGAGAGTGGTCTGGATTTGCAGGGGAGTGTGTGTGATGTATCATGTTTGTGCTAGTGGCTTAAAAAATGACATTAGTGATACGTTTTATTCACCTCATGTAGAACAAGCTGCTATACATTGAGTATAATCGATATGTCACCCTTCCGTAGTGTGAAAGCCTCAAAAAATTGTGCAAAAACAGTAAAACTTTTCAGAACTCTGTCAGTTCACAGTCGATTTCTGTAACACAGACACACTTTAATATTCCTCCCTTCCTCTGTCTGTCTCCAGGGGATGAGTTCACCAAAATTGGCGAGGAAGATGATCAGGGTTGGTGCAAAGGCCGTCTCAAGGATGGACAAATAGGCCTCTATCCTGCTAACTACGTGGAAGACATCCAGTAGTGATTCATCACAAATGAATTAATGTGAAGAAAGAGGAAAGTGGGGTGTTGCGAAATGACAGTGCGGCTGGAAACGAGGAGGCTCTGCCTTATGTTTGACCCTTTTCTCCCTGTCAGTGAAGACTGGACCGGTGTTGGAGCAGGATGGAGAGGAGAAGTTGCAGATTATTAAAGGACCACTTGAAACGTTGCTTGCCACAGATTGACAGCGCAAAGATGGAAATAAAAGTTTCCAGATGATTCCAGGCGAAGAAGAAGATCAGAGAGAGAAATTGCTGTCAGTGTAAAATATGTTATTTAGAATCCCATTTATGCTGTTAAAAAAAATAATAGCCTTTTCAAGTATATATTAGATAAAAACTATGTGTGAATTTATATATTGTTTAAAGAAAACACTGGGATGACACTCTGACAAATCGTCTTGCGATGTTACATGCAGCCTTAAATATGCAAGCCACTATGGATTCATTAAGGGAGACAACCCTTTTTATAACCATTATCTATTTTAGGTTTGAAACAATTTCTGCCTGATAGAATCCAGTCCATTGATGTTAATTGTTAGATTCTTTTTGGACAAATCAGGCCCTTATGTTGAGATTATTGTGTCAGATTTAACCGGATTTTAAATTAGTGCTTACATTGTTCTGTCATTCCTTTCAGGGTTCTGTTTTTCTGGTTATTTTATAAGGAATGGTAAAGATCAGCTGAGCCTCATCCTGATGTAGACTTCATCTAGTTCACAGTGGGTGGGTTCCTCGAGTCACTGCAATTGAATGTATATTCACTGATTGTATTTTTTCACTTACTGATTGTTCACTTTTGCGACCACTGAACCATTAACCCCCCCTGAACAAACTGTTGTTAAGCTTTTCACACACTCTCTACTTTCTGTCGATTGTAGATTTAATACATTTTTTTTCTCATGCAACACTGAAAGGTTTTCACAAACGTTTATCTCACTTGAATCTCCATGTTTGAATTCTCTCACTTGTTAAATGTCAAGTTATGGGAGAGTATTTTAGTGTTTGTTGCTTTTTTCTTTTTTGAAAATATATTACAATTTATAGCAATAAAACCACAGCCAAGTATGGCGTCGCATACACACGTGTAAATAGCCTGGATGAAACAGAACAAATTAAACATCGATATCAGACGATGTGTAGTTGGAGAGTGATGATTGTTAATTTATGATGCCACAAGTGCTTTTGTTCTACTCTCGTTAGAATGCTGTGACTGAGAATCAGTTTGTATAGTGATTGAATGTTTTATGGCAAATATCCCTTCAATCTGTTATTTTGGTATATTTGTAAATATAATTATTTTCCCAACACAGAGGGCCACACTCATTGAATCAATCAACAAATATGTGTCAAGAGCTACGACATGAATTTATAATATTGTTCTGATCATCAAGTATTTTGTTGCCTTGAGAAGAACTGCAGGCTTTTCACTTGTGCAAGCTCTAAATTGTAATTGATGAAAATCATTGAAAGCAAAAGCTACTTGATGCCCTTGCCTGCAGCATGAGAGGAAGATATGTTGTCTTTAATAATGGTGAGAAAGGAGACGTTTTGCTATGTTTTCAGGGCGTGCTGTCGTCAAAACGCAGCAGCAGCTGTACTTGCACAGTAAGGTTTGTAAATGTTGTCCCACAACGTAATAAATGAATTTATTCAAAAACACTTTTTGCCCGTGTCTTGAGCACTTATATTTCTTATCGTTAACTTTTCACTGATGATGTCAAGATGTTTACTAGACCTAAAAAGAGTTTAATCTTTTTGCATGTGAGTATATGTAAGGATCTTTTAAAAATTTTGAATATAGATGTACTTGACGTTGATAGTTAAGTTGTATAGTTCTTTTAATTGCAGAGTGTACATGTCAGAAATAAGTAGAAATAAGGAAAATACAGAGTCCGTGAAGTCCAGAAAAGTTTTTTTTTTTTAAGCACTCAAGATAATAATCTATTCCCACAAAAATGATAATCTTGTGTAATATTACTGCACAAGACAAAAAAATAAATAATAAATCACATTTCGGGACTCCAGGGGCTCTGTAGAAAAATGCCTCACTAACATGCTTAAAGTTAACTTTATATAATGAAATACACCAAATTTAATCCATCCACAGAATCCTACAGATGTTGGAATTTTGTGCTTCAGTTTCCCACATTTTTATGAGTTTGTAGTCAGTATCTTGCAGATAAATCCTTATTCCAACTGGAAAAACATCTCTACATTTAAGTGCTACACATTTTTGGAATTTATTAGTATTTTTGTGAGCTTAAGAATAAGGTTTAATCGGTGGCGTTACCCGAAATATAAAAATATCTTGTACATTTTGCCAGTGTCACTTTATTAACACCACTCACATTATTATGTCATCTTGTTTCCAAATTCTTATTTTAGTTTGGGTTCTCTCATTGTTTATCTCTGTTTCTTTCTATACTTATCTATATACTTTTCCCCTGTATTGCTGCAACAGCCAAATTTTATTTTGGGGCAAGACCAAGTTCAGTGTAGGAATATGGATTCCTCTAAACCACTCTAAATCAGAGGGGTAAGATTATATTTAACCTTACTTTTGTTGGATGCAGAAAGTTAAATTAAATCAGTCTGTACCTTGAATTAAAAGTTAATATAGCCTACTCAAGTCAAGATGTCACTCTCAGGCATGGAGTGACATCTCTTTTCTTGTGCTGCTTTCAGACACCATCAGTATTTAAACCTTTGAACCCTGAGCAAATTCTTAAAAAAAAAAAAAAAAAAAACATGGGAAAAAAGGCAGTGAGCAACGTGGTATGAAATGTCCCACAAATTGCACACACACACACACACACACACAAAATATATATATATATATATATATATATATACATAATTTATTATTTTTTACAAAAATAAATAAAATGTAATCAATAATAATCATATTTTATGATTATAATAATAAAATTGATTGATTATTCAATAATAATGATCACTTTTTTGTGGCTCATTGCCTTTCTCCCATGTTTTTAAAAGAAATCAAACCAATTTGCTCAGGTTTCAAAGGGTTAAACAATCTTACAGTAATTAAATGCATATTAAAACGTTTATAAATAATTGGTAATACTTCAGAAAAAGTTCAGACTTGAATAAAGGACCTAAATACGTCTTTAACCACATTGAAAACACTGTAACGTCAAAATGTGAGGATGAACTACACTACCCAGCAGCCCTTGCTACAATAACATAACCACGGGTCACTTTTATCCAATCAGAGCCCGACCATGATGTTCTCCTATTGACGTGTCGTATTCAGTTATTATTGAGGAAACACACTGGGTGTTTTTTCCTTTCTACTTCTCAACATAACCGACAGTTATTACCTACAGACAGAACAATGTCAGAGCCCAGCAGACACGATATCTCCACCATTTTTAAGCGACTTCGCGCCGTCCCTACGAACAAGGTGAGAGTTTCAAACGGCTGACAGTTTACTCTCTTTAACAAGGAAGTTCAACTGACACGTCGCACTTTGGGGAAAAGCTAAAGCTAGCTTTAATTTACCAGCTAATTTAACAACTAGCTAATACGTGACATGTTTAAACACGGTCGGTTTTGTTGAACTGTGGGCTGGTAACATTTACAGGACAATAATGTGTGAGAGAACGTAACGTTAGCTACGTGGATGGCAGCTAGCTACATTTTGACAGTTGGCTCTAGCTAGCTGTGTTTGTGGAGGCTTGATATTTGTTTGTTTTAAGCATCCTCAAGGCCTTTGGTCTGCGTAGGAAAATGTTAGACAGTAGTGAATGACATTCACAAAGCAACAGTGCTCATAGCTTTACCATTAAGAGGTGATTTCAATGAGAAACTCAACCCACTTCACTAACAGCTGTTTGAATCAGCAGCCAGCTAATATCACAGTGGCAACATGCACTTCAGACTTTGTTTGCTTCCACGTCTCTTTTATTGATTTCATATGCAGGCTCTTGCATGAGGAAAGACTTGCGCCATAATAACTTGTCATAATAATAAATATCAGTCTTTACTGCTTCATTAAAATGTCAGTTGCCTCATCTGTGAATATTTTGAGATAAAGCTTTATTTTTATGCATCTTCTCTGCTCTCTCTTCCTCTCAGGTTTGCTTTGACTGCTCAGCTAAAAACCCCAGCTGGGCCAGTATCACCTATGGTGTGTTCCTGTGTATAGACTGCTCTGGGACTCACAGGTCCCTGGGGGTGCACCTGAGCTTTATCAGGTTAGTCGGGACCTATTTATGTAGTGTACGTTTCAAAGCAAAAAGACCTCACAGCAGGTAATGTTTTACATGTAAAGAAAATTAGACGCAGGAGTCTTTCAGAAAATCTGGCAACAGCTTGTTCGTCTGATTGTAGTCCTTTTTTGTGTTACCACCAAAATTTGCTTTATTTATATTCCTTTTACTTACTGTTGTTGTTTTTTCCTGTGCATTTGCTGTTGGGGTGTTTGAATTGCAGTATTTCTACATCACTCTTCAAAATCATGCAACAGATGTTAAAAAAAGTGTCACAGTTGAGGCACTTAGCAGGAAATATCAAAGAGACAGGGTAGCAACAAGTCCAAAAGTATGAAAATATAATTCATATACATTTTAGATTCCAGTTGAATTTATTTATTTAACTCTTTAACTCTTTGTTTAAAGTATTTCTAAATGTTTAGACAGAACATAAACACAATAGAGAACATTGTGTGGGGGCACACCAGTTAAGTAATCATGACAGTCCACTTCTCCCATTTTCTGGGGAATATTGCTTCTCTAAACCTCAGGGGTAAAGTCATCTTTTCCATGATAAAGATCTCCTTGATTTTGTCCATCCATTGCTTAAGGCTTGGAGGCTGAGATTTGTACCAGTTCTTTGTAATCGCCTTTTCGCTGGCAATAAAGTGAATTTTACACAGATACCAATCTTTTCACTTGATTGTAATCATCAGAATTTATTATAAAGTGTATGGGCAAAGACAGCGTGTTCCATTTTCTTTTTAAGCTGAGCTCTGGGACACCCAGTCAACACTTAAAGTTAACTTATAGTGACATCAAGTCAGAGCGTTTACAGTGTGAACCCGTATAGATAATAACTAAAATTTTGTAGTGAATTCTAAGCTCCAGTAGTCTGTTCATGGAGTGAGGCCAACACTGGAGTAATGTGATCCATGTGCTTTGTCTTTGTTAGACGATGAGCATTTTGAGGTCCTTCAGCTCGAGGTCAGATACTACTGTATTTTTAATATGTTCCTTTTACTTATAATTTTGAAATGTGCTTTTCCTGCAGCTTATGATCATGCAGACAAACTGCAGCTCATGTGATAAGGCATGAGTATTGTGAATTTATAGTAGCGTAGTTTTGAGTTTTTGCACAATTTCAGAAGATTCTTAAAGCGGAACCTGGACCCAGTTGTCCAGTGTTTTTGCGTCTGATGGGAGCAACAGTTTTTGAAGCTGGTCTAGTATTGAGCAAGAGTGCTGCAGCTGGTAGTGACAAAACAGACTACATGTTACCACTCTAAGCAGGTATGCCCTGTTGATTTACGTCCTAAAAAAGTGCATGTTTTTGCCACTGACAGGCTCAGATTCTTAGTGTTTTACAACATTATGGAGAAGACCATCATTTGTCTTTACCTTTTACTTGTTTGTGACCAAGTCTTGCTAAAGGAGAAGTATCGTTCTGAAATCTCTCTTTTCCACATTGTCCGATTCAGACAAATGTTCAGCGATGACATTGAAAATCTTTTAGATAAAACTAAGATGCACTTTCTGTACTCCGACACAACAAACTTTTTCCGGCAGTCCTCTCTCCTAACTCTCATTGAACATTTCTACTCTTGTTTTTCCTGCAACAAATAACTTGCAAGATTTCAAAACTTAACTTCTTGTTGGTGTAAGTTGGACACAAATCAGGCCAGAACAAGCAAAAGGTACTAAAGAAATATTTAATTTCTCTGTAGGGTCCTTTCTGTAGTGTTGTCAGACACTTCTCATCACAATCTGAGCCTGTCAGTGGTAAATACAAACACTTAGTGTACACAAATTGTCACGGGTGATTACATTAGATGATTTGCACACCATTCCCTCTCAGTACTGGACCATTTTCAAAAATTCTTGTTCACACAAGTCACTTGCCCTGCCCTGCCACTTTACTGACACTATGGACACTTTATGGACACCACAGCTGTCTGCTGTTTTGCACATACAGTCACTTGCACTAGATGTGCTCCCTTTGTTCACTGCTCATTTTCATTCACTGCTGCTCATTATTATTATTATTGTTATTGTTATTTATTGCTGTGTCTTGTATTTTTGTACTTATTTTGCATGCCTAGTTTTTTACGTTTTAAGTTTTTAAATTTAAATTTTGAAATCTTTAATCTGACTCTTTCCCCTTGACTGCTGTAACACTGGAATTTCTCAATTATGGGATCAATAAAGGTGTATCTTATCTTATCTTTTATCTTATCTTTCATACAAATGCAGGGAGAAAAAGGGTTTCATGTGCAACAATACTGGAGTTCCCCTTGAAAAATCCAGTCAAGAGTAAAATAACAGGGAGAGAAATCTTTTGGAACCTGAGCTGTTCGTCCCTGTCAAACTATTTTGTGACATAAGAATTAAAGCTTTGTTCACATCTTGACATTGTTGTTCCACAGGTCCACTGAGCTGGATTTCAACTGGTCATGGTTTCAGCTAAGATGTATGCAAGTGGGAGGCAATGCCAGCGCGGTCAGTACCTGAAGGCTGCATATCAGCAAACTATCAACAGCGTTGTGCTCCACACACATAATTTAACTTAATTCATCCTGTCGTTGTTTCCTGTATCTGTTCAGGTTTCATTTTTCAATCAACATGGGTGCACAGCCAACGCTGCCAACAGCAAGTACAACAGCCGAGCTGCTCAGCTGTACAGAGAGAAGATAAAGACTTTAGCCACGCAAGCCACCAGATGCCATGGCACTGACGTAATGCAGACGTGTTTGTTTACTGTCATTAAACATCCTTCACTTACAGGCTGCTCCACAGCAATTAATAGAAAAAACAGATAAAACAAACTTCCTGTGTAGCTCCTCTTTGCGTATTTTACTTTGCATATAATATATCTTTAAGTGCACAGATAGCTTTATCAGTTTACTGCTCTTATTCTGTGCAGTTGTGGCTCGACAGTCAGGCTCCTCTCTCCCCAACATCACCAGAGGACAAGCAGGTGGATTTCTTCAGTCTGCATTCACAGGTATAGGAGAGTGCTTGCCTTTCCTAGGTGTGATTTTTATCCACATACCTGCTTGTTGGATGTCTGCTAGTGACAGAGGATCTCACTAGGTGTGTCTGTTTAATACCCAGGATCTTTCTGAGAATTTGAACATGGCCAAAATGAGTCTCAGCTCCACTATATCAGAGAAGCCATCAACTGGGGAAAAAGAGGAAGACAGTAATGGTATTCACAAAATACAAACATGCTATAGTCGTACTTATCTCAGTGTCATTTATGTGGCTCAACACATTTACATTAAACCCTTTCAGGTAATCTAGAAGAGGGTCCCAGTGTGGACATGCTGAGTGTTTCTCCAAAAGCAAATCTAGGTTGGTTTATATTCTTCACGTTTACTCAAAGATCATGTGCTTGTATCTAAATTACTGTTGGTTATGTAACTTTACCATCATTTGATTTTTCCAGACCATTCCTCTCTTCTTAAGAAGAAGCCAACTGCCGCCAAGAAAACAGTATGTGCTCACATAACTGTACGTATTATTGCCACTATGTGTTCTCACAGACTTTGCATTCATAGCATGCTTTGCAAAATGTGTCTGCCTGTAGTTGGCCTCTAAGAAGGGCGGTCTTGGCGCTCACAAGGTGAGCAGCAAGAGTTTCTCAGAGCTGGAGAAGAAGGCTCAGGCTGCCGACAAGCTCAGAGAGAAAGAAGAGAGCGCCACTGCTGCAAAGAAGAGCTCCCAACCTGAGGAATCCATGTGCGTCTCTTTGCTTCTTTATTATTTGTTATGTTTTCTTACCTTAACGTGTGGTCACTGGATTTTTGTTGTACTTTTCCTGCTGTTTTGATATTTCATCGGCCTTCTTCCTTCTCAGCGCTCCGTCCCTGCGTCTGGCCTATAAAGATTTTGAGGAGCAGAGGAAAATGGAGGAGAAGAAGTTTAAGGGATTAGAGGGGAAGAAGAAAGAGCAAGCTGAGAGACTGGGCATGGGTCTGGGCATCAGGAGGTATGATGATGATGAAGACGATTAGGAGACAACTGCTAGTGATCCTGTAGCTGAATGAAGCATTAGTTTTCATATCTCTGTTTCTTGCTCTCATTCTCGCTCTGTAGTGGCGTGTCTCACTCTGTGACATCGGACATGCACATAATCCAGCAGGAGAATCCACAGGGGACCAAGACCAGCAAAGGACGACGGTTTGTTGACGATGATGATGATGATGAAGGGTCCTTCAGCTCAAGGTCAGACAATTATTCTTTTTAATTACTGTCATTATGTTTATTAACATAATATTCTGTGCTCTGCTGTTTTCAAAGTTTTAAAACTAATCTGCTGCTTCAGTTTAGTTTTTCAAAGCAGGTGGTTTAATATTCAGATTTTTTTAAAGTGTTGCATGCATCACTTTTTTATTTCTTGTTTTTTTTCCCTTTTTTTGTCTTGAACAATTTTCTGAATATTTTGTGATTTGATGTCAGTTTTCATACACTGATTTGATAGTATTGTATCTTAATATATTCCTCTCTTAAAGGCCCTTTGAATTTTAATTTCAAAATCCCCCTCTTCTCCAGCTGCTGTTTACACTGATTTATAGATAAAGTAAAAAATATTTATTCCAGCTTGTTACAAAATGTCCAAACAAGCCACTGAGCAGTGAACAGGTGAACTTGTCCCAGACGTGTGTTCTGGGTTAAAAATAAACCAGTGTCCAGTGCACTTTATCTCTCTTTGGATTTGGCGATCCATTAATTCTCAATACAGTGTACACATGTTCACCATAACATAGAAGGGCGACAGGATTGTCCATATTCAATCATTAGTTCATTCAGTGTTTAGATAAAGATAAACTAAACTAACAAAAACTATATTATGGCTCCAACACAACTAATCTCAAGATAAAAACTAAACTAACACAGTCCTGTGATCCAAAGAACATCACCAAAATTTAAGAAAAACTCCCATGTCAGAAAAATAAAATGTCACTTAAGGGGTGGCACAGTGGTGTGGTGGTTAGTGTCAGCGTGGGTTTTCTTCTGGTACTCCGGCTTCCTCCCACAGTCTAAAGACATGCAGGTTAATTGGTGACTCTTGCGACCTGTCCAGGGTGTACCCTGCCTCTCGCTGAATGTCAGCTGGGATAGGCTTCAGCCCCTACGAGACCCCCAAGAGGATAAGCGATTACGAAAATGGATGGATTGATGCAAATTTCAGTGTAAATCTTTAATCCTAACCTGACTTCTGTAAGCCCCTTTCATGTTTAAAGACTTGATGTGAAGTAGATAGCTGTCCCACAACATGCCACCTGTTGTCTGCATTATTCATGGGAGGCACTTAACATGAACACACAGTGGCCCCTGAGTATCATACCGAGTTCCTGCAGACCCTTAAAATGTCTTAAAGGGCATTGCATTCATTATTATTAATAAAATGAAGCATTAATTGGCATTAAAATGTCTCAAATCAATCATTCAAAAGTCTTAAAAATGCTAAGACATGGAAAGTATGTGGTGGTGGTGCATTGTAAAATCTCAACATAATTGGTACTTCTTTTTAACAACAACACTCATATGTTGTTACCAGTCGTGATGCTCAGAGCAGAGGATCCACTGTCTCCTAGCTAGCTTAATGTAAATAGTTTTTCAAACCAGGCATGATGGGAATCAAGGCAGAGTAAGAAAGAAAAAACTGCCAAGTTAACCTCTGACTTTTGTGCTAATAATATAATAATTGCCAGGTATTTCCTCCTTCTATTCCACCCTTAAGACAAAAAAGCACTGTTTAATGTTCCAATAACCATAACATTGGTCTTAAATTTGATTTTGAGTGGCATTTAAAGTCTTAAATCTAACTTGCTGTAGACTTTAGACCCTGATTATAGTTATGCTGAGTATGGACCAAGGTTATCTGAGAACTCAAATATTTGGGAGCATGACCATCTGTAATGTCACACATGTGATGCAGCTTGTTGTTCTACTCTAAGCTGTACTGGCAGCAGTCCTACCCTTCTGAGTTCATCACTAACAACATGAGTTTGACGGGATGCATCTAATAAATACAGAATAATATGATTTGGCATCACTTGCAGTTTGTTCCTAAGTTAAGCTGACAAACCGCCTCACAAAGCAGAACATGTATAATCAAAATTACACTCTCATATAATGATGACACGAGAAGTTTTGCTAACAGTAAAGTCAAGAGGCCTCGTTCTGCAAAACAGGAACTTGAGTTTCCTGGCACACTCAGATAACATTTTAGCAGCAATTAATTCCCAGGAGAGAGACTGTTCTCCATCACAGAAGACTGTCAGTGTACTTGTTTTTGACAGCTTCTTCTTCACTGATCCAGTTCTCAAACATAGTCCATCTACCGCAGTACTCCCACCTGACATCATTCTGATCTTCTTCTGTCTTTAGGATCATGTCTCGGTTTGAGGATCAAACAGAACCCTCAAGTAGTCTGTCCTCGGGATGGGATGATAGAGGCGAGGGAGGAGGCTGGATGAAGGAGAGCAAGAAGCCAGAGCCCGACTTCTTTTTGACCTCCACTATAACATCACTGAATGACAGGTAGGTGACACTCACTGCAAGGCACTGTTATTAGTTATCATTCATTAAGCTTTAGTGGAATCATTTGTATAATGATCGTACATTTTCTGAGTTCTGTTGCGTAAAGTGGAAATAGTTTTTTGCTTCAACTTATTGTAATGACTGACAATGTAATGGCTACAGAATAATGACATCATCTGCGTTAAGATTGGTTCTCTATAAGCTTCGCCTCCATCAAGTGATCTCGCAGGAAAATTAAGGCTCCATTTACGGCACAAAAGAAGTGTGTCAACCATTGTGCAACCAAAACATGGAGGGGATATTACTTTTGTATTCCCCGGAAGCTATCAGTGACTATCCCCACTTACCAAAGAGCATCAGTGTAAGCTCTCTGCATTTAGGATCCCTGGTAGCAGACATGGTGGACGGTGGAAAAACCGAAATAACCGTGGAAAGTGTGGTAGTTGCTAGGCTCTGAGGAAAACAAGAGCTGAGCTGGTTCTCTTTGCGAGAGCAGTGCCAACAATAGTATAACATGAAAAAGTTGAAAAGTTGTCTGTTTCCACTGAGAAGAGTTTATCTGATGTGTTCAGGTGTCACAATATGAAATATGTTTTTGTGATACTGCATGCTAAGTAAATGTATATACAGCTATTATTAGTGTTGATGTTTATTATTATATCTGTGTTTGTAATCATTGTTTGTCATCAGGCCCACAGGCAGGAGAAAACCAGAAGCAGTACCGGTGTCAGACAGTGGAGAAGCTCAGAAAAAGTTTGGAGGAGACGTGAAAGCCATCTCTTCTGACATGTACTTTGGAAAACAAGATAACTCTGAGGTACACAGTGACAACATGCATCCTACCCTGTTCACATGCTGTATATATGGTGTTGTAAATGATTAGAGCTGACTTGCATATAGGGCTGCCATTAACGATTATTTTCATTGTCGACTAATCTGTCGATTATTTCTTCGATTAGTCAACTAATCATTTCATCGAAAAATGTGTTAAAATGTTGAAAAATGTCGGTCTGTCTCTCCCAAACCCCCAAATTACGTCATCTAATGTCTTGTTTCTTACTCACGCCAAAGGGTTTTAGTTCACCGTCACGGGAGAGTGTGTAAAGCTGCCAATATTTGAATGTAAGAAGCTGCAGTATGAGTATTTTGGGGTACTTTTATAGTACTTTTCTATGAAAAATGACTCAAACCGATTAGTCGACTACTAAAATAGTCATTGATTATTTTAATAGTCGATTAGTCATCGATTAGTCGACTAATCGTGGCAGCCCTACTTGCATATCAGTTTAGTGTTTAATGTTTTCTGGCTATACATATACCTAATAATGGAGTAACTCAGTTAAAGTAATCACACATAAAAATTAACTTGAAAAGTACTCAAGGATGTTTGCAAAAAATGTTTTTGTATTTCTGTTCTTCAGTACGAGGCCAAAACACGGCTGGAGAGATATGCTGGGAGTTCCTCTATAAGTTCAGCAGATCTCTTTGATGAACCAAAGAAACAAGCTGGTGAGTGAATACTGCACCAGCACTGCCTTTTCCAAAACTATTCAATATCTCATTTACTTAACATGTTAATTTGTGTAACTGGTAAATACAAATAAATGTGTATATATAATAATACCCAAATACACAGTTATTGTGCTAGTCTTATACTAAACTTTTTTTCTGCAAATCTTGTCGGATTAATCAAGCTATGCAAACTTAAAGGTCCAGTGTGTAGGATTTAGGGGAATATATTGGAAGAAATGTGAATATCTTAAATGTAAAATCACCTGAAAATAAGAATTGTTGGGTTTTTTTTTACCTTAGAATGAGTCTTTTAGATCTTCATACCTTGTCCATGGAGATCACCATGTTGCACTGCCATGTTTTTACAGTAGCCCAGAACAAACAAACCAAAATTCTGGCTCTGGATAGGGCGTCAGATTTTTCAACATGAAACTACTTTAGTCAGCGCTTTTTACCTGTTTGTTGTGGAGAAGAAGAGACCCCTGTTGATAATTTGGCTTCTGGTTAAAACCTCCTGAACAATAGGCCCGTTCCCACCGCAGGAACTTCGGGGTAATTTTACAGGGCCGGGGCCGTTGGTGCGTGTCTCCACCGCAGGAACCACCCCCCGAGGGACAGAGTTCCGGAACTTTTACGGGGGCTAAACAAGTCCCTGCCTCGGGGTAGGTACTCAGAACGGCCCCGAAAGACTCCTGGCTGGGGCTTGGGGATTACTTGGTGCTGATTGGATATACTCAAGACGGGATGTGACGTCAACAGAAAGCAACAAAATAGCCGGCATTTTTAAAACTCAGCAGACGAGGATTAGCTCGTTTATATAGCTTTCGCCGCCATGTACAAAAAACTCACTAAATGACCCGTGAAAAAATTATTCTTTCCAGCGGATATCTTAGTTACAACATGATTGAGCTAGCAAAGCAGTTTTGTGTTGCTATGTGTGGTATTTATTCAGTTTTGGGAAATCACGATGTCTAGAAAGCATCAGCTGACAGGGACAGTTAACAGCAGCAGCAAAGCTAACATCAGGATGTCATCTGTTAAAAGCCTCCCGTTGTCGGATACAACATGAAACTACTCCAGTTAGCTCAATCATGTTGTAACTAAGACATCCGCTGGAAAAAATATTTTTTTCATGGGCCATTTAGTGAGTTATTACAGACACCGCTATCGGCTAATGGCGTCCCTACATCGCCCCGGTCAAAATGGTCGCGCAACGATTACGTCACATCCAGAGGCAGCCTGTAACTTTACAGGAACCTTCCTCGTACTCCGCTCTCAGTGGAGACACGGCTGTTGAGAGGGCCGAATGAGAGCATGTTCCTGTAGTAGTTCCTGTCCCCCAAATAGTACCAGGAACTTCTTCAGTGGAAACTGGCCTAATGAGCACTGAAGGAATTATAACCAGGAGAAGTCTCAGCTGGTTGCAATCTGTAATCCCCACCACTAGATGGCACTAAATCCCCTTAAATCTTACACTCTGGTCCTTTAATGAATGCAACTTTCACACAATCCCCAAACTGCTTTATAAGGCCGCGTCTTCTGCTTCATTCGTGGGTAGGTTTTATTCGCAAAAATTGTTCCTAGGAACACTAAGAAGAACAACCATGTGTGATTAGACTGAAGCATGACTGCATCAGGGCTGTCAGAAGTGCTGTCTGTATAGCGATAGAAATACTTAGATGATGAACTTTATTTTTATTGTAGATGATTTCTGTAAAACATTTGAACTCCAAAGTAATTGAGATTAAGACATTACGCAACTTTGTAAGTAAAAGTGTTTTTCCCCAGTGGAGAAAAGCAGACTATCTGTACAGGAGTTTTGTACTAAAGAATTTTGACCACAAGGTCTCTTAAAACATCTGTATTTGCCCCTTACTAACAGATTTGTTAGTATGGGTGGTTCCGTTCTTGCATGTTCTTTGTCTGTCTGCTTGACTGTCTTTGTCTTTTGCACGCAGCAAGTTCCTACCGTCTGAGCAACGTGCTGCCCAATGCTCCTGACATGTCGCAGCTCAAACTGGGAGTGCGTTCGGTCGCAGGAAAACTCTCTGTCATGGCCAGCGGTGTAGTTAGCACAATCCAGGTCGGTCAGAAATACGGCACTTAAAAAGATCTTGTCTGACAAACTGAAATTGAAGTTCTAATAATATATGTTGTCTTTTTTTCCAGGATCACTATGGCTCCTGAGTCATGGTGTGTCTCCTGTTGGATTCTGTGCCCTCATAGTCGTCCTCTGTTTAACAGAGTCAGATAAGTTTCTCAGATGAGTGGCGGTCACTCATCTCGGGAGCAAAAGAACTTCGATGGGAGAATCTGCTCTATGACAGCATTAAAATTTAACTTCAAATAATCCCCATCTATATCTAGTTTTTCAGTAGATAATGTATATACAACAGTTGCTGGAATCAAGATGATGGAAGCACAATATTGTCAGTGGGATTATGTTCCCCTGCAGGCATCTTGAAGGGAGATTTATGTGTATAGTTCAGTTACGAAGAATATTTAGTTTGCGGTTTACTGCTAAGTTGGCTTTGAGGTCTTGGGGTTAAAATATTTAGAAATATTATATGTAGCAGAAGCTTTATGGTGTTTTGAAGGGTGGATTTGCCTTTTGATTTTTTTAGTTGACGAGGTAAAAAAACAACCTTAGAAGAGGAGACAATTCAGTTGTAAAGTTTTTAATTGGTTTACATACCCTCGCTCATCACATGTGCTGTGTGTGGGGCTTTTTTGAGTTGAAGGAGAATTAATGTATACACAGCACATAGGTGTTAACAAAGTAAAAGCAACGTCTGCACACTTACTCCATGCCACACAAGTTAAGTAGAGACGTTTCGATCCTACTTGGACCTGATTAAGATCCAAATGGGATCCAAATGTTATCGTGCTTTTTTGCACTTTCCCGCAGGTCTGAAAGTGTCCTTTCCGTCCCCAAAGTGCACTTATGTTTGCTCCTCCACAGACAGGACCAAAACCTGACAAAGAGGCCTTGGGGGACCAAATATGTATTCCTTAATCTCGCATACTACCAGTTACATAAATTGAAAATTGGCCTCATTAGCATATATAAGCTTCATTATATTGTGAATATGTTTTATGTTTTTCTTTGTTTTCGAAGGCATCTTTAATTATGAAAAAAAAATAAAAAAAATAAGATGGTATAAAACCTAAGCAGCTATTAAAAAGTGAGTTTAAACGACAAGTTCAACACCTTGGGAAATATGCTCATTTGCTTTCTTGCTAGTAGTACAATGAGAAGATAGACACCACTCTTTAATACAAAGCTGCAGCTGGAAGCCAGTTAGCTTAGCTTAGCATAAACACAAAGGAAACAGCTAGCCTGGCTCTGCCTACCAAGCAAAGTGTAAAAACTGCTTCAGAGATGTTGGTACAGGAAGTGGATTTTGCTACCTTTGGGTAGAGGCAGGCTAGCTTCTTCCAGGCTTTATGCTAAGCTATGCTAACTGGCTGTTGGCCGTATAGCTAATGGACAGACGAGAGAGTGGTGTCAATCTTCTCACCTTGAAGGATGACTGGTATTTTTCAACCTGTACCATATTTTAACATGTACTGGTGTCTCAGTGACTAATGGGATCAGTATTTTGCAAGACCACTGCAGCTGACGGCAGCGAAACAGGCTGCAATGTAACTTTAATGGGCAAGTGTGCAGCGTTAATTTTCGTCCTCTAGAAGTGCTTGTTTTTGCCATTGACAGGCTCAGATTGTTATTCGAAGTGTCTGGCAGCATTAAAGAAAGGATCCTTACAGAGATAGACTTTTTTGTCAGAGTAAGATCCTGTTTTTTTAAACCAGAAATAGCTCCAAAATCACAAACACAAAACCCACCAGACTCCATTTAACAAAACAGCGATTTTATCATTGTCAAACACACTTGATTCAAAGTCAACAGAAACAAAATAAAACTCACAAAAACTGCCTTGGTTCGTCTTTCTACTGTTTCAACAATCACCAACTCTGAGAGACTGAAATTAACCCTTAATTCATCCAGTTAGATATGAAAATATGCTGGCTCTGTACAAGCTGAAGTTACTGATTTTTCTAATGGAGTCTGGTGGGTTTGGCAATTTCGGAGCTGTTGCTGGTGAAATAAAAAGGATCTTACTCTTAAACAAAAAGGTCTGTCTCTGTAAGGCCCTTTCCATAATGATGTCAGACACTTGTAATAATCCAAGCCTGTCAGTGGCAAAAACAAACACTTTAAGTGAATATGAATCAACGGTGTACAAATGCCCTGAGTGATGGCATTACAGACAGCTGCTACCCGCTTTAGCGTTCTCATTCAATACTGGACCACTTTTAAGAAATTGTTGTCTCCATTGGTCACTCAGAACCAAAAACATGAGAAAATAGGGTTGAAGGTGTAAAATAATCTACTTATTAGCATTATATTGACCCAGCTTGGTGAAGGTCAGCAGCACTTTGTTTCTTTTTTTTTGCTCAGTCTTGTAGCTTAGACACTTTAAGATGTAATCGATAATATGGTCAACATTGTAACCTGTAGATGAGGTGAATTTTGAGGGGTGCCTTTTGATCATGTTTTGGTTTTAATTTGTAAGGTCTTTTTGTTGGCATTGGTGTTTACACGTCTGCGGTGACTTTCTACGCTGCCCCCCTTTGGTATTGAATTTAAAGGCACACACTTAAGACTCTTGAAGGTTGGAATTATCTGATGCATTGGGACCTCTTTGTAGCTTTCAGGTCCCAGTGTATAGCACACATGTCCTCTTAAAATGTTAACAGTCCCTTTAAAGCCTTCATTTTTTGTTTGCTGTAACATACTGCCGGGGTCCAGGTCGTATCTTTAATTCTGAGCCAGTACATGTGGCACTGTAGTGTTGAATTTGACATTTAAAAGCAATAGGAAAGCAGCTTGATATCTGTTAATGGCTCAGGTGTGGAATAACTACTGCTTGTTATTTAGCATTAAGGTTAGGTTTCCCATGATGCTGTGCAGAGTAAAGGGACTAGAGTTTTTAAAGACCTGATGGGGAACTGGATGATTATATTACTGAGCAGTGTCTGTACTGTTTATGCTTCTCAGGAGTTTGACTTGAGTTGTAAAATAAAAAACACTAAAAGATCCTTCAATGACCAAATATTTGTTTACTCCATCACTCTATGCCTTAGTCCAAAGATCTCTGATTAGCACGCCCTCATATTGCAAAATTCGTGGAGTCATCTGGTTACCTTTTTGCACATCACTTGCTAGAAATTGCATGTGGCAGCTTTTGCTTGAATGTACTGTATTGCAAATGAACATTTGCCTCTAAGTTGACGTTGCGTCTTTGTTAAATTTTGTTGATCTTTGTAAGATTGTGTCTTCTGCTGTTGAATATTGTTAAATGTTACATAAAATAATAGTAGCTTGTTAAATATGCATGGCCCATGTGGTTAATAGGACCCGCTGACACATCCTGAATACAAGAGAGCATCCTGCTGTTGGGACCCGTTTAATAATAATGGAATAACAGAATTGTTCAATAAAAACTGTATATTACTGCTACATACAACGTTGTATAGGGCTTTAAATTACCATTTATAGAAAGCTACTGATAATCAAGTTTTGACATATTTTGACACTCAAAATGTAAGTAACATTTTTGAAAACATGCCAAATAAATGGCTTGTGCCGAAGCTCTTTTGCCTGGTTATTTTACGCCCTGCACTGCACAGAAATTCATGTGTGATTAATTAATTGTTCAGGTTATTAGAAATCAGCAAAAAACATGTCCATCATACCAGTTGTCCTACCAACATTCTAAAACCCAATAATATTAAATTGACTATTATATTAAACAGTGAAAACCAGCAGATATTTACTTTGGAGAAGCATTTTTATAACAAAAATCAATAAAAGAGAACACATTACTCAAGTTTTAATGACCTCACACTGGTGTGTTGGTGTGTTTTTATGTGTAAAACTCTGTAGCACAGGTTTTTGATAATAGCCATACAAAGAAACCATTCCATGGTCTTCATCAGTAGACTCACAAGTCAGTCTTTAGACGCTTTGCTTAACTAAATCAGAAGGCGGAGATCTCTGATTGTTTGGTGGCGAGACTACTTCATCAGTGAATCGATTTGTCCCAGTTGTAACGGAGTGGGCTCAGTCGGCTGAGGCGCATCCTTTTACTGATGAAGACCATGCAATGTGGTTTAAAGCTCAGGATAAATGCTGGGAAGTGGACCAGGAGTCAACAATACTTCATATAGCTACTATGACTAATATTCATACAGTCAAGAATGAACTTCCACTGTCCTCTCAATTTTGGTATTTGCCTTTAAACTTAAAAATAATACACCTACTAAATATGCTAAAGGGTATAGTTTGCATATTAACCCTTTAAAAAACTTGAGCAGATTGGCTTTTTTTTAAACATAGGAGAAGAGTGAGCAATGAGTGACGAAAGAAGAAATGACTCAAAAAATTAAAATAAAAAAAAGAGAAAATAAAAACAAGAAAATTAGTAAAAAAAAAGTTAAAAACAACTATGTAATAATAATAATAAAAGTATTAATAATAAATATAGATTATTATTTTGTTATTTATTATAATTATTACTATTTTAATATATTACGTAGGAGATTAATCAATTATCAGAATTGTTGCTGATTATTTTTTGTCAACCGAATAATCGATTAATTGATTAACTAATCCAAAAACGTCATTAATCCATCATGGCCACTTTGAGGACAAATCGGGACAAATGCTGGCAGCCGCCTACGTGGCTGGCTGAGGCGTTTACTGTCCTTCCTGTGCGATCGGAATTTTGAGCGTTAAGATTAGAGCTCAGTTTAACGATTAAAACAGATTGGAAAAACGCGATTAAAAATTACAGTTTTGCTTTAAACTTATTGTGTGGCTCGAGATAAAAGATAAAATGTTAATTTGTGTGTTGTATTTGTTATAGATTTGTGTTTTTTACTGAAAAATCATGTTAGTGTTTGTACATACGAGCTTAAAATGAGCATATGAAGGCGGCATTTTTCCAAGGAGACGGCTGAGGCAGAAAGCTTGTTTTAACGGTTACACATTAAATGTACTTTTTACGTTACTGTAGCATCCGACATTATGAACTCATCGGCGAATGAAGTGTTTTATTTCACTTTTCCACGTAACAAATAGCTAGTTAGACTATATTTTTTTTTGTTAGAGCCTGTTAAATTCCTTCAAAGTAAAAGTTGCCAACAGTAGCCAGTTAGCTAAGATGCCTGCTGAGTTAAAACAGAGGAAGAAGTCACAGAAACAAAGTGATGAAGGGTCCGAAACGTCGGCTTCAAATGTCAAAGATGAAACGCTAAAGGTGAAGACAGACGGTGGAAACAACACAGGAACGAATAAAACGTCCTCTGGTTTGGATATTAGAGGCTTAATGTGCTTATTGTCGCTTGTAGCTTGCGGGGCTCTCAGTTGGTAAGTAAAAAAAAAACAAACTCCAATACACTAATGTTATCAATAGGTTTTATCTCTGCTACAGTTTTATGTCCTTCTGGGTTTCAGGATGGTGCTGCAACAGAACGAGAGGTTTACTGAAATTGAGGAGAAGTACAGATCTTTACACGTAAAGACTTCAAGCCTGTTCGACATGGAGGAAGAAGTCCTGAAAGTTTCCAAAAAGGTGCGTTTGATTTATAGGGGAACATGTTCTGTGCTGCTTGGAAGGGATGGAGCTTTAAAGGGTAATTTCACCCAAATTACACACAACAAACTGAACCCCATGTAGACAGGTTTTGGTTTTGTGTGTCCAGGTTTTGAGATCTACCTTCACCCCCAGTACATTGGAAGGAATGGAATTAAATCTGTGGTGCTCACAGCATTAAATATAATGTACAATGGCATATATGCATTTTGACTGAAGAAATATCCCCTGCACTAACAGGTGACATAATATTCTTTGGATTTTAAAGAAATATTTATGTGGAATTAGAAAAATAAATTCGGCACAATAAATAAATTATTGTCGTAGCTAAATACCACTACTCGATAAAATATGTTTTTCTTTTGTGAAATTCAGGTGAAATGATCCTGTAAGTTTGTGTGGAAACATAAGAATACAATTTTATATATGCGACCGTTGTTAGGGAAACATGGTAGCCACCCCCCACCTCCTGTTTATTTCTGTAAGCTGAAACCATTTCCCTCAGTGGAAACAAAGCTTTTATTTACTTTAATTTCACAGATAAGAAACAATAAATTGTGAAGACAATAAAGCCTCCACAAAATAGCATTTTATGTCTTGTGTGTGATTTATCCTGGCTTCATATGAGCAGAGGAAATCTCAGCTAGGCTAATTTATACAATGTAAAATGCCATAGACTTGTGCTAATAATGTTAGCATATTATATTTGGTTGGAAATGGGCTTCATTTTCAGCTGCAAACGCCAAAGGGGGTTTGTGGCTCAAAATTGAGCCACTTACTCATTGAAGCAACCTAGGGAGAAGACTAGGGTGGGCACAATGTCTCCACAGCAACCCTGTTGGTTCGAGACAGTGTTACTAGCAGTAATTACAGAATTAGCTCAGCTAGCTAGGTCACACCAAATCCAGCTGGTGCACAGTGCAGTAAAATGAAGAATAGCAAATTTTGCCTATAGACCGACATGTGTAACCGCTCAAAAATCTTCTCGTTGGTTAACAAATAATGGTGAACCGTTGACATCCCTGATTCATGTGGAACAGAGTACATGGAGTCAGAGGCAGACTTTGAGTAACTGTAATGAGTCACAAGTCAAAGGGATGGGGAACTACTGCCTTACATTTGTGTTTTGTTTAAAAATGTTAGAAAAACTACTTTTGGGTGAGCCTCACATCTCTAGAGTCCACATCTATGTGCTCCTTTAACACCTTTACAGTTCACTTACATCGTACACAGTTCCTTTTTGAATGCATGCATTTGGTTTCCTGCTGTATCAGTTATATATGAATACTGAGGACCATAGAGCTCCCACAGAAACAGCCCTCCTGTTTTGTGTTGCGGCTGCAGCTTGCCGCCTCTGAGGACGACCTACAGGAGGCGCTCTCCACCGTCTCCTTGGCAACGCGACTCCAGCAGGAGATCTCCACCCTCCACACTGCCGTGATGGGGATGCAAGCTGGTGAGAACTCCGCCTCCCGTGACCTGCAGGCTGTTAACGGCCACTTCCTCAACGTGACGGAGACGTGGCAGGAGCGTCTAGCTGCCATCAACTCCGACCTGTCTGCCCTGAAGGCTGAGTCACGGGAAGCTCACGCCACAGCCACAGAGCGGGTTAACGAGGCCGAGCAGAGAGCCCGGGCGCTGACGGAGAAGCTGGAGGAGCTCGAGGCCAGCACAAAGAGGAACGCCCGAGCTATGGAGCGCACAGAGGAAGACGATACCAAGCGGGCGCAGGATCATCTGGACTGGAACACCAAGCAGATCCAAGCCCTGGAGCAGCAGGTCAGCACCCTGAGCAAAAGAGAGGCGGAGCTCAGCTCTCAGCTCCAGGAGCACATTCCCCGAGCGCTTGAGTGTGAAGAGCACCTGCCCCAGGTGGAGGAGGCGGTGCGCTCCATCCTGAAGCTGGCGGGTGATCTGAACGGGGCAGAGAAACGTCTGGAAGAGGTGACGCTGCAGGTGTTTGGGACTGAAGACAGCATGCTGAAAGCACTCAGTGAAATCCTTGAGATCAGGCAGGAGCTGGACACCCTGCAGGCTCAAAACAGCATCCTGAAGATGAAGAATGAGTTGTCCGTGGTTAAAGAGGCAGTCCGTGAACTCACCATGGTGCTGAGGGGAGACACTGTCGACAGCCTAAAGGACTCTGATGCTGTGGAGGAAGAGGAATGGAAATACGATGAGATGGAGGAGGATGAGGAGTGGGAAAAAGACGACATAGATGAGACAACTCAAACTCCACTCGATGACCTCACTGAATGATGTCATTGTTTTGAGTCAACGAGGGAAAAGAAGTGGCCCTGTCAGACTATTGCTGTAAAAGGCTGTCATAGTTCGGTTATGTTTCTCAAAATGTGCACCTCATTTTAGAGCTACAGCTGGTAACTTGTCCCTTGCCGACACTGTCACTAGATTCTGAACAGTATGTACAGTATAGTACAGAGACAGTGTGAAATAAATCATGGTCTTCTCCCCTCCTACTGCCTCTAACTCGCTAGAATCAGCAGCATGGTCAGCAACAACCAGTCAGAACTGAGGAGTCTCTAACACAGCTGTCAATCATGTCAGTCACTCCTTCTGTGGAGGTCACAACAACAAGTTTACAGTTGGTAAACAATGGAGGAGAAACAGGTGGTAGCAGTTGCTGGATACCCAGAGCTATACGGCCCGTCGATAGACAGCAGGTTATCAAACTGCCCCCTGAGTCATCCTAAAATATGCTTAGAAACAGCCATCACCACCAACTGGTGGTACTCCCCGTGATCCACCCTCTTTTGCGCGCCTCGCATTTTGCAACTTGCAAAACTCTTTCTGTGTGATCGAGGCCTTGGAGACTTCTCTTCTCTGATTGGTTGTTTTAGCTGAGCTGCGATAGATTCTAGCAAATGCCAGAATGAAGAGGAACATCATTTTTTCACAGATTATCTGTCTAATGTACTTCTGTCAGGATACAGTGACAGTTTTAGCAAATATTTACAAAGAAATTTACCAACAACAACTTTAATATCAGAAAATTGGTGACTATCAATACATAAACTCTGGTACACATGCACTGTATTACACAAGTACAATCAAGAATATTTATTGTAATATTTGTTTATTGTGGAGTGACATGCCCCATTACTCTGATACAGTTATATAACAATATATGTAACTACATTAGAACTGAAATGATTAGTTGATTAATCAGTCATTATCATTACATTATCCAGTGCTAGCTTCTGAATTTTGAAATAGTTTCAGCAGGTAACTGAATATTTTTAGGTTTTTGACTATTTGTGGAAAAACAAGCAACAGGAAAATATGATGGACATTTCATCAAAATCCATTGCATTTTCTTTAGACAAAATTAGTCATTGATGTATCAAGAAAATAATGAAAATAATCATTAGACACAGCCCCAAACGTCATCTCTGTCAGTGTTATCTTACATTTGGTACAGGAATAACTTCTGTAGATGTGGAAGAAATCTTAATATTAATGATGACTGTTACATTTTCATCTTTTGGTTTCACCTGTTGGAAGCATGGCAGTCATTTCATCACTGAATGTAGTAAATAAAATCACAGTTTTTATTGAAAATGTTGCATTTGTGCAGATTTGTTTTTTGCTCCTATTTGATCCTCTTGTGTATAGAGGCACCAGTTTCCCTCGTGTGTTTTCTATAGAGGGAAATGTGATTAACCAACACCTCCTGAACACACAAGCATCTTAACACACAAGCATATAGCTGTTGTATGTATCGATCCATGTGCTGTATGTCCTGTTTCAGTGTGAGAGCGTCCAGCTGATGCTGGAGGGTCTCGGGGGTCAGCGGGGGGCTCTGCAGCCTCAGCTGGAGGGTTTGGAGCAGGAAGTGAGCCGCCTGAAGGAGTGGGCCTTTGGGCTGAATGAAAAACGAGCTCAGCTTCAGACCAGCCTGACCTCACTGAGAGACGCCGTGGGACAGATCGAAGAGCGCACCTCAGCCATCGCAAAGGACTTTGTCAACAAGGTGTGTGAGATTCTGTTGACGATATACAATGATTTTATTGGCGAGTCACTAGGAGAAAATCTGTAGGTGTTGTCCTGTTCCAGTGCCAGCTGTGATACCAGATGCAGGGAACAAAATTCAACCACTGGCACAAAAAATTGGGCTGCAGCCAGTGATTATTCCCATGAATGACTGAATCAATTAATCATTTTGTCTATAAAATGGTGAAAAATGCCTGTCACAATTTCTTGGAGTGTAAGATGACGTCTTTAAATTTCTTTTTTTGTCCTTTCAACAGTCCAAAATCCAAACAACCCTGAGAAAAAACACTTTTTTTTTTAATGCCATTTGAAACAGGATTTCTGAGCCTTTGTTCTTCTATATTCGGCCTGTAGGTAGCGTCAGTGAGGACAGATGTGCGCAGGATGGACGGTCTACAGTCTGAGCTGGAGTCTCTGCTCACTCAGGTAGCAGAGCTGGAAGACAAGACCGCTCAGGTGGAGCGCAGCATGGTCAAACGCATCGGGGATGTGCTGGCCAACAGCATTGACCGAGTCTCAAACCTGCGCTCTGCGTCCGAACGCAACACTCAGGCCATAGAGCAGCTTCGCAGGCGCATTCCTGAACTCACCACCGCTGACACACAGATCTCTGAGCGCTTGAGGGAGCTGGAGAGCGGCAGAGCTCGTCTGATAAGAACAGTGACGTTTGCCAGCGACCTCAAACCGAAGGTTGCTGCCATTAAAAGAGACTTCAGGGCGTTTGAGCCTCAGCTGTCAGATCTGACTCTGCGGATAGGAAGACTGGCAGAGGATCTTATGAAGAGAGAGCAGGAGGTCGCTGAGCTAAGACAGACTCTGGCTAACCTCACTGCAGTAGAGGGAGATTTAAGTGTAACAAGTAAACAGGTTAGTGAAATGACTGATTTATCTGACATTGGAGAGATGCCCCAGCCCACATGAGCTACACACCTCAACAACCTCAAGATCAACATTTTCGCCTTTTGTTTTCTCAGCAATTACATGTTGTCACCTGTCACACTACTGTTTGAAATAAACCTTTTACTTGTACATTAAATATAACACCTTGTTTACTTAACTTTTATCCAAAGCACAAAGCGGGCAGAGAGCAGGCAGCAGCTTAGGAGACGGACACTCAGTCTGCGGCTGTAGCATACCGAATTTGGCCAGCCCAAACCCTCCCAGCACTGGGTGACACAGTGAGCTGGTGGCCAGCAGCAGCGCGGGGTCTAACCTGTGTAATGGTAGCAACAGAAAGTTAGGTAAGCCAACAAAAAGTCTGGGGTACTGCGGCCATTGACTGCGGGTTTTCCTCCGAAGAGACTGCCCAGCTCTCCTTCCGGCAAGATGGTCTGCAGCATCCGGAAGACACACTGTGATTTGAGGCTAATGTTAGCTACATGGACATGACGTGTGAGCCTTTAGCTCCAGTTAGCAGGTTAAACTATGAGCAACATTTTCTCTCCATCTCTGTAACACTTAGATATTGACACTTTTGTTTATTGTCAGACTCTATTTTGATAAGTCTGTCTTCCTTTCTTGGGGTGGCTTTGCAGTGTGGGCAGTTGTTGCCAATGCTGGAATACCAACTTTCTCTGTAGGATTCCTCTCCATTGATTCAGGCTTTCACCAAAGAAAGTGTATGTTCATTTACGCTTGTAGAACAGCTAGTAGGAACTTCCTCTCTTTGAAATCACCTATGATTAGCCAAAGTCTCCCGTCATGGGCTGAATTTTTTAAAAGCATGAAAACAGAGCCAAGAGGAGGTGCAGAAGTCTGGTTTTCTCTCAGACCACTTGAATTACAATATGCTCCAAGTTTATTATGGGATTTTTGACCAATAAAGCCAAAGTTAAACTGCCCACCCCATCTTTTACAGGTTGAGATTTGACTGGTTTGGTATTGTTCTGCCACTGTGCAGACTTGTGCAATTACTTTATTTTCTTGGGCTCCCAAAGAGTTTTCCATATATTTTGTTTTTCAGAGGTTGTAGAAATGTGCAGGAAGTGTGGACAAATGTAATATTTTGACATTGGTATGGTCATTTTTGAAGGCTTTCAGTATGGGCACAAAATACTGGCTTAAGGGAATAGTTAACATTTTGGAAAACTTAGTAAATATGAAGCTACAGCTAGCAGACTACAGAAAGGGGGAAACAGCTTGTGATGTCACTCATTCACAGCTATTAAAGTCATTGTTCTGTCAGGAAATAGTCTGGTACATAATCAGAGAACTGTTGTTTTTACAGTTAGAATTTTTTAATGGAAACAAATTAGATATTGAACAAGTAAAAGCCAGCAACACTCATGTGTCCTTCGTTACCAACTTTTAATACCTCACTGGTTCAGGCGATCAAACACACAGAGCGGTTTCGACAAGTGTCTTCCTCAGTGTGTGAAAAGACAGAAAAGCAGGGTGAGACATGCAGAAATAACCTCCATTTACAATCACACAGCTGCATGGCATTAGGCAATCACCAGAGCACCAAGCAGAATCCTGGTAATCATAGAAAAACATCTCATAGAAGAGAAAAAAAGTACAAAACATGTATCAGTAGGTATTAAATAGACCAATATCAAGAAAACACACCTATAATATGAAGTGCCTAAGAGTAATAAATATTTACTGAGTACATCAAAAAAAA